TTTATTTTCTCACAGTTTAGGAGGCTAGAAGTCTGATTCAGGGCACCAGCTCTAGGGGAAGGCTTTCTCTCTGTTGGCTCTGGGGGAAGGTCCTTATTCCTTGGCTCGTTGGTGATCTTCGCATAGTATGATGTCTGTCTTTTCCCATCTCTACTTCTCTCCATTGCTTGCTTAATCTCTTTTATATCTCAAAAGAGATTGACTCAAGGCACACCTTACACTAACCCTGTTCATAAACATAACAAAGACAACCCATTCCCAATTGGGACTATAACCACAGGCATAGAGATTAGGATTTACAACACATATTTTTGGGGGAGAGCCCTGGTGGCATAGTGGTTAAGAGCTCAGGCTGCTAACCAAAAGGTCGGCAGTTCGAATCCACCAGCCACTCCTTGGAAACTCTATGGGGCCATTCTACTCTGTACTATAGGGTCACTATGAGTTGAAATTGACTCGACGTCAATGGGTTTGGTTTTTCAGTATTTTTGAGGGACACAGTTCAATCCATAACAGAGAGAGAGGGAGAACGAGTCAGAAGACACAACTGTTTATCTGGCATTATGGAATGTGCCGCTTTTGCAAAAGGCCCCTATCTGGTGGTTATGGAGATGGGACAGTGTGTCATGGTAGAAGCAGCTCCGGATTTGAAGCCAGACAGACTCGTATATGCCTGGTCCAGCCAATTGTCAGTTGGGTGCCCCTGGCTTGACACTTTACCCCTCAACATCCTTATCAAAGAGGCTTAAACAAGATACTGGGCATGAAGCGCTCAACAGAGGGTAGGCACTCAGCATGGTTACTTCCTATCCTTGGCTCCCTTCCCCATAGAGGAGAACCTTCCGCTGGATCAAGAAGCAGCCATACGGTGAAGTTGACCACTGCGGCTAGGTGGGCATTGTGGGGGTTCTCAGTTAACTCTACCAGGCAGCACGTGTCTCTCTGGAGGAAGCTAGCAATAGTGTTGCTGGGTGGAAACCCCAGGTTCTGCTCGGTGTGACTTGTTACAGCTCATAAACAAGAGGCCGAGGTAGGAGAAGAAAGACCTTTATTTCGTTACACAAGGAAAGGAGCAGCTGGGGCTGCTATCTCCAAGACTGCTCGCAGGCAGCTTGGGAAGGTGGGCTTTTACAGAGAGCAGACAAGGAAATGCAAGTTCATCATGAATATTCAGGATTGACCTTCATCCAGGCACTCACGGCTTGGGGATGACTATGCATTTTCTTTAGACAAGGGTTCAATTCTCCGGGATGGAGGAAGAGGTTGATTTTCCTTCATTAGCATGTTAAGTCTCCACCTAGAGGTGGTTGAGGCCCGCTATGGCTGTTCTGTGGTTATCTTGTCAAGGACATTTTCAGAAGAATGTATGGCTTATTCTGCTCCGTGTAGGAGGATAAGCCAGAGCAGGTGTTTCTTAGAAGGGTTGGGCTCTGAGGCTGCCTGCCTCAACAGAAGGAAGACAGGTAAAGCAAAAGGAGACTGTCTTAGTCATCTAGTGCTGCTGTCACAGAAATACCACAAGTGGATGGCTTTAACCAAAAGAAATTTATTTTCTCACAGTTTAGGAGGCTAGAATTCTGAATTCAGGGCACCCACTCTAGGGGAAGGCTCTCTCTCTCTCTCTGTCCGTTCTGGGGGAAGGTCCTTGTCTCTTTTCAGCTTCTCTTCCTAAGTTCCTTGGTGATTATGCGGCATGTATCTTCCCCTCCATTTGTGCTGGCTTGCTTGCTTAATCTGCTCTTTTATATCTCAAAAGAGATTGATTGAAGACACACCCTATACTAATACTGCCTCATTAACACAACAAAGAAAAACCATTTCCAAATGGGATTATAACCACAAGTATAGGGGTTAGGATTTACAACACGTATTTTTTGGGGGACACAATTCAATCCATAACAGAGACTATTCTCAAGTGGTGTTTAATCGACTCCTGAGCGGGAAATAAACTTGAAGCTCTCCAGAAAGAGTGGCTGAAATAGCCATTCCACCCTCATCATGTTGCCCCAGTGACAGCTACAGCCTCTCTGGGGCTCCTGACCTAAGAGAATAGAAAGTGGCTTCCGCCCGTGGAGGTGGACCTGAGCTCCCGGAATCCCCTTACACGGGAGGAGCTCCAACACTGCCACTAACAGATGCTTTTCATTTACTGAAGCTCATTCCTCACATTTGCTGGTGTCACAGACTGGTGCCCACAGCCTAGAGAAAGAGCGCTTTCAGCACTTGTACTTCATTTTGAAGCTCTAGGCTACTGGGCCATTGCTAAATTATAAATCTATGAGCACATGTCTTTCATTGTTTCCATTTTATAGAGAGAAACAAGAAGCCTTTCCAAGTGTTTCCTCCAAGGCTGTGTAGCAGTTTAGAAGCAATTAAAAATAGCAGTGTCCAGAATGGCCAAGTCTCAGTTTTCCCCTCAACAGACAGACCCTCTTTTCCTGCTCCTACTGGGCCCATGAGCCCTTGGCCTCTCCAGACTTCAGCTGGCCTGAAAGGATTCAGCCCAGGGTTGGAGACACCAGCCCCCCATTCCACACTTCTCCCATCCTCTCCCTACCCTCTCAGGCTTCAGGAGCTGCCACTGCAGTTGGAATGAGAAAGACTCCTATCCTCAGCGTTCACACACTTCAAAGGTTTCAAATCCTAAACAACAGCTTGTTTGTATCGGAAGGGGATGAGGGGAGGGCAGCGGCCTGCTGTGAGAGCCTTCACTAAACCAGTTTCAGTATTTACTGGCTTCTTGTCAGAAGGGAGGAATCCTGTTTCAGGAGGAAACATATCACCACTGATAGTGTAACACACAGTAAGAGATTGAAGCTACAAAAGAGGTGGAGAGTTTTAGAAGGACACTATTTTTAAAGCATTGGCAAGTAGGAAATGGATACTGGGGCACTGATATAAGTGAGACAGGGCAGTGGTGTTGGAGGGAATGGGTAAGGAGCTGAAACTGGGAAGGGAACAGAATAGATCCCAGAAATAATTAAGGGACATAAGGACAGCAGATGAGAACTACTGAATTCTGAAATGGACCAAAGGGGGAAGTGTAGGTCTGAAAGTGAAAGAGGTCCACAGAACTAATCATAAGATTAAAGTGATCCAGGGCAACATTGTTGTTGTGTGCCATCGAGTTGATGCTGACTCAAAGTGACCCTATAGGACAGAGTAGGACTGCCTGTCACATAGGGTTTCCTAGGCTGTAATCTTTATAGAAGGACCCCTGGTAGCACAGTGGTTTAAGCACTTGACTGCTAACCCATGTCGCCCAATGTGGTAACTCATCACCTCCCTCCAAACCTGCCAGACACTATGCTTGGTTTCACCCAATGTGGTGACCCGTCACCACCCGCGTCCTGTCACCTGTCAGTCAGGGTGTGGGCAGGTGGGCTGCTGTGACCACCACTGGGCGAAGAGGAGGGTCTCCTCCTTGGCCAACGGGATAGGAGAGGAGTTGCAGGGAGCCATGAGGGGTGGGGCTGTGAGGGGCGGGGCCAGCGCATCATGGCCCTTGTTCCTGGCCGAGAGGGGCGGGGAGGGGGGATAGGCTGCTCCACCCATCCCAGGCAGGTAGGGATGACACCATGAGTTACTGCACTGGGTGACACCAACCCTAGTGATGCCACTGAAATGTGACAGTCTGCTTTGGTAAAGATTACAGCCTTGGAAATGCTATGAGGCTGTTACCCTGTCTTACAGGGTCACTATGAGTCCCAACTGACTTGTGGGCAGCGTGTTTGGTTTGGAATCTTTACAGAAGCAGATCGCCAGGTTTTTTCTTCCCGTGGAGCAGCTGGTGGATTTGAACCACCGACCCTTCGGGTAGCTGCTGAGCGCTTAACCATTATGCCACCAGGGCTCCTTTCCAGGGCAATAGGGGTTGGTATTCTAATTTACCTATGAGTCAGAATCCACTTGACGACAACTAACAACAACACAGCAAATGAAGGAGAAGCAAGTCATAACCATCTAATAATAAGGAAACCGAGTCAGGCAGGGAGTCAGTGGCAGACACAAATAGGGCAGAAGTCTGCAGAAGGGAAGGAGCTGTTGCCAGAAGAAGGAAAGCACCTTGAGCTGTTGGTGTCTTCAGAACTCAGGTGGAAAGCTTCCAACTGCTCTTTATTTCTGTACCACACCTTCTTTTTTGAGAAGTAACTTTGTTGAGGAATAATTGACATACAATAACCTGTACATATTTAAAATGTACAATACGATAAGTTTTGACACGTGTGTATAAATTTCTATGTGAGTATATATAAGTAGATACACATATATGTGTGTATATATTCAACTCAGTGACAACAATATGTAAGTATATAAACATATGTTGTTGCTAGTGGTCGTTGAGAATATATGTATCTAAGGAGTCCTGGTGGCACAGTGGTTAAGTGTTCGGCTGCTAAATGAAAGGTTGGCGGTTCGAACCCAGCAGTGCCACAGTCTGCCTCCGTAAGATTACAGCCTAGGAAATGCTATGGGGCAGTTCTACTCTGTCACATGGGGTCACTATGAGTCGAAATCAGCTCCACAGCACACAACAACATATCTAGACACACACACACACACACACACACACACATCATCATATCATCACACACATATCATCATTAAGCTAATGAACATATCCATTATCCCCCAAAGTATTCTTGTGCCTCTTTGTAACTCATCCATCTGGGCTTCTCTCTCATCTCCAGGCAGCCACTGATCTGCTATATGTCACTAAAGAGTCATTTGCATTTTTGAGAATTTTATAGGAATGAAATCATATATTAGTGCTTCCCCCCCCCCCAGTTTGGCTTCTTTCATTCAGCATAATTATTTTGAGATTCCTCCATGCTGTTCATTGTATCAATAGTTCTTTCCTTTTTATTGTTGGATTGTTCTTAGGTGCTGTTGAGTCGATTTCGACTCATAGCGATCCCACGTAACAGAGTAGAACTGCCCCATAGGGTTTTCTTGGCTGTAATTTTTATAGGAGCAGATCACCAGGTCTTTCTCCGTGGGAGTCACTGGGTGGTTTGAACCCCCAGTCTTTCGGTTAGCAGTGGAGTGCTTAACCCTTATGCCACCAGATAGTCTCCCATTATATGAACATACCACAATTTATCCATTCACTTGTTGATGGACATTTGAGTGGTTCGCAATTCCTAGATTCTGTAAATATTTGTGTACAAGTCTTTGTATGGGCATATGCTTTCATTTCTCTTGGGTAAATACATACAAGTGTAATGGCTGGGTTATAGGGTTTATGTCTGTTTAACTAAAAAATCCCTTCCAAACTGTTTTCCAAAGTGGTTGTAACATTTTACATCCTGCCAGTCAGGTATGAGCGTTCCTGCGCTCTTACATCCTGGTTCCCACTTGGTATGGTCTGTCTTTTTAATTTTTGACTCTGATAGGTGTGTATCTTAGTCATCTAGTGCTGCTATAACAGAAATACCACAGGTGGATGGCTTTACCGAAGAGAAGTTTATTCTCTCACAGTCCAATAGGCTACAAGTCCGAATTCAGGGCACCAGATCCAGGGGAAGGCTTTCTCTCTCTGTTGACTCTGGAGGAAGGTCGTTTCATCAGTCTTCCCCGGTATGGGAGCTTCTCCGCCCAGGAACCCCAGGTCCAAAGGATGCGCTCTGCTCCCGGTGCTTCTTTCTTGGTGGTATGAGGTCCCCAGCTCTCTGCTTGCTTCCCTTTCCTTTTATCTCCTGTAAGATAAAAGGTGGTACAGGCCATACGCCAGGGAAACTGCCTTTACATTGGATTAGGGATGTGACCCTAGTAAGGTTGTTACAATCCCACCCTAATCCTCTTTAACATAAAATTACAATCACAGAATGGGGGACAACCACACAATACTGGGAATCATGGCCCAGCCAAATTGATACACACATTTTTGGGGGGACATCATTCAATCTACGACCGTGTAATGGTATCTCATAGTGGTTTAAATTCGCATTTCCCTAATGACTAACAAAAAATTCCTCTTTACTTGTAGGTTATTTTGCTTTTCAGGTCGGAAGGGCAAGATTAAAATACAAAGTCACACCCCCAGCAGTTACCGGGTCACCAGACTTTGAGAGAGTATTTCGTGCACAGTAAGTTCACAGTAGAAATTTTCATTAAAAATTGGGAAAGGGAATCTGTGACTGCAGAGTTTCCAGGTTTGCGCCTGCCTTAGCTTCTTAGTCCTGCTGTAACAGAAATACCACAAAGGGGTAGCTTTAAAGAACAGAAATTTAATTCCTCACGGTTCAGGAGGCTAGAAGTCAGAATTCAGAGTGTGGCTCTAGGGGGAGGTTCTTCTTTGTCTATTTCAGCTTCTAAACCAAAACCCGTTGCCGTCGAGTCGATTCCAACTCATAGCGACCCTATAGAACATAGTAGAACTGCCCCAGAGGGTTTCCAAGGAGAAGCTGGTAGATTTGAACTGCTGACCTTTTGGTTAGCAGCCGAGCTCTTAACCACTGCACCACCAGGGCTCCATTTCAGCTTCTAATAGCTGACAATCCTTGGAGTTCCTGTGCCTCTGTGGTCATCAGACAGTGTCTATCTTCACTGTTTGTGCTCTCTTGTCTCAGTGTCTATGCTGTCCCTTATTACTCCAGAAGTGACACACCCTACGCTAATAGGGTGCCATTAACACAACAAAGAAAACCTTATTTCCAGATAAGATCACATCCACATGTGTAAGGGTTAGGATTCCAACATGTATTTTAGGGAGACACAGTTCAATCCATATAGCGCCTAAAGATAGGGTGATTTTTACAAAGCCTCTCTGGTCAGTTCTGTTGCATCTGGAAGACCTCTCCTGCCCTTCAGGGATGTTGGCCTGCCATGTACACATAACTCCTGCTTCCTGCTTAAAAGGAAGACATGTGGCGAAGACCCTGGGTTCCTTTGCAGTTTTATTTTATTTTTAATTTTGGTGCAGATATACACAACAAAACATTCCCCAGTTCAACAGTTTCTACACGCAGGATTCAATGACATTGATTACACTCTTTCTCATGCAACCCTTATCCCTATCTGTTTCCGAATTATTCTACCACTAATAAGGTAAACTCGGTGGTCCTCAAGCAAAAATTTCCCCTTTCCCCCTCCCTCCCACCCTTGGTAACTACTAATAAGCTTTGGTTTCCATGTATTTGCTTATTTCATATAAATGAGGTCATACAGTATGTGTCCTTTCGTGCTGGCTTATTTCGCTCGGCATAACGTTTTCAAGGTTCACCCATGTTGTAGAATAGCACTCTTTTTTGGAACGTCATTTCTCTTTACGGCTGCATAATATTCCATTGTATGTGTGTATCACATTTCGTTTATCCATTTACCTGCTGATAGACATTTTGGTTGTCTCCACATGCTGGCTATTGTGAATAATGCTGCAATGAACATTGGTATTCTGGCTGCGTTTGCAATATCTAGTTTTAACAAACCAATTTCCACCACCAGGCTCCTTCTCATGATCTTCGAAGCTTGAGGCACCCAGTACACAGAGTCTCTACCCACCTTTACTATGAACCCAGAAGGGTATATTCACTGAAGGACTTTGATCCTTGGGAGGGACCTCTGTGTGTCTCTCAGATATTTTCTCTGGGCCTAGATGCAACTTGTTCAAAGACCCCATTCCAAACCCCTGAGAGTGCAATAGCCTCAAGTTGGATTTGTTGTGTTACCAATTTTCCATCTTTATATCTTTATTTTTTCTGTCCACTTCAAAACAGAGGTGAGTCAGTATCATCCTTTGCCCATTTCTCCATAAACCATTTCCTAAAATCAGAAATCTGTAGGAATAAGAAAATATTCCCTCTTGCATGTATTTGCAGTGCTTCAGATCACTGAGCGTTCCTTGCTTTTCAGATCCACACAGAATGTTCCACCATAATTTGCCTAAGTCAATTCCAACTCATAGCAACCCTTTAGGACAGAGTAGTACTGCCCCATAGAGTTTCCCAGGAGTGGCTGGTGGATTCAAACTGCTGACCTTTTGGTTAACAGCCAAGCTCTTAACCACTGTGCCACCAGGACTCCGCAAGATGCTAGGGCTCCCTTTATATTTCATCCTGAAAACTAAGTGCTTTAAAAAGATTGTGTGTATCACCATTTATATATATCTGGGTTCTTTTGTTAACACTGAGATTTTTCATCCATGTTCATGAGCGAGGTTGGCCTGTAATTCTCCTTTCGTGTATGATCCTTGTCTCATTTTGATATCAAGGTTACACTAGTCGCACAGAAGGAGTTGGAGGAATCATTCTGCTCTATTTTCTCAGAGAATTTTAATAAGGTTGGAAAAGTCAGTTTCTTCAAAGTTGTGTAAAATTTGCCTGTAAAACAATCTGGGCCTGATGTTTCTTTGTGGAAAAATTTAAACTATGGAATTTGGTTTCTTTAGTGATTATTGGACTATTTATGCATTTTATTATGTCTTGAGTTATAGTCCTTGAAGTAACATGATCTTTTATTTTTTCCAACCGCTTGCTCCAGGGAGGATTTCTCAGACTATTCCTTAGGCTCCAAAGTATGGGATGAATACTGCTATTAGTACAAGTGATAATTTTAAGAGGTGCGTAGATGTGATTTTTAAATAACATTGAACCACCTGGTGAGAAAATCATTCCCATTTTAATTCTTTTTGAATCTTTATTATTGTGTCAAGTATAAAGTATTCTTTGATGCCAGTATGTACCTCATCTCAAAATTAATACTTCTATCAGAGTAATTCATGTACATGGTCTGAAAATAAAGTAGGTATCTAGAGAAAAATAGGTGAGAAGTAGATCGTCAGACCTTTCTTCTTTGTCTCTTTTAGTCTATAAGCCCACTGAAACCTGTCCATCATGGGTGACCCTGATGGTATTTGAAATACTAGTGGCATAGCTTCCAGCATCACAGCAACACCCAAGCTACCACAGAACAACAAATTGACAGAGAGGTGGTGGCTTCCCTGAATTGCTTCTTGGATAGTCCACACTCCTAGCCCAGTTCTTGCCTTAGGTCTTAAGGTTTAGGATAAATCTGGCCAAAGTAAATTAGATTCGCTGCCAGTAAAACCCTTTAGACTTTGCCTGAGGTTGTTAGTACGGATCCTCTGGGATAACCAATTATTCCAGGGCCCGTTTGGCTACCCATTCTCTTTAACGGGTGTTTCCTTGAGCTCTGCAAATCCTTGGAAAAGGAATACGCTTTCTTTTCTGGCTCTCTGGCTTCCCTGGACCAAAGCTTTTCAGTCCCTTCAGCCTCTTTCAAAGGTCTTTATGGTCTTGGTCATAACAGAAATGCTACCTTCTTCCTACCCTTTCCTCTGTTGATTTTGCACTAAGCATTGCCAAGTAGCCTGGTGTTATGACTAATTTTACCTTTAATGGAACTTGAGGTCTCATCAGCAAGCACTTCAAAGTCTCCAACTGAACCACCACTGCAGTACCTGTTTCTTGTCTGACAGTCATCTCAGGCTAGGTGTTCATTTGCCAAGTAGAGTTGATTGTTATGGAGCCAGCCTACTTGAGTCACCAGCCCTGGCCCTTTTTCTAGAGTCCCCATTTAAATTCCTCTTTTATTCCTCAGTGGAAGAGCTCTTACAGATGACTATCTCTAGAGTTTTGCAGTTCTTTGCCAGAATACTTTTTAAAAAACTGTGACAATAGCAACTATGATTTCACCAGGGCCTTCTGCTAAACTTAGAAAATTCTGTCTTGTCTAATATGAACACCTGATCCCTTTAGATTAAAGCGTATTATAAATCGGGAAAAAAAAAAATGATGCAAGTAATACATTGATCTTGTTGCAACTTAAATACATTTCCTCTGACTCTAGCCTCACTGAGAAGAATAGCTGCTGACCTCACTCTTTTCATATGCACCGGGCCATTATTTTGTGTCTTTCATCTTCGACATTTTGAGGCTAGGTAGTACTAGTTCTTTAGTTTTCTGGTTGTTCTCTTTAAGCCACAAGTTTTCATATCTGTTCTAATTGTGGAGCCTACAAGTTTACATAGGATTCCAACAATGGTTTCATCAGTGCTGGTAAGACAAAAGAATTGCCTCTTACTTAGTTCTTGTTAATGGTACCCTCTTTCATTAATGCTGGATTATTTAGTTCCTATTTCAAAATTAGCCTGCAGAAACCCAACCATCATGAATCTGGATACTCCTTAGAAATATTAGCTTCCCTTACTCTACTATAGTTCCTTATTATTATTATTATTATTGCCATTTCACTAACTTTTGAATAGTCACTTTGAATTCTAATCCTGAAATTTAGAAATTAAACTAGTGACCTTAATGCATGTCTAGAAACTATGGAGGAAAGAAAAATTCACAAAGATAATACCTTTTCAAATATTCTGTAACACTAGTATTATAGTAGCATGGGTAGTAAGTACAAAAAAGTAAAAGAGAGAGAGACAGTAAACACATTCTTATGTTTCTTCCAAGTGTAAGACATCTTAGACTTCAGCTGGAAGCAGTAAATGTACTTATGCCCTGAGTTATAAACGGGCTAAGGATCCCCAGGGGGCATTTGTGATTCAGTGGTAGAATTCTTGCCTTCCATGCGGGAGGGTGGGTTCGATTCCTGGCCAACGCACCTCATTCACAGCCACAACACGTCTGTCAGCAGAGGCTTGCATGTTGCTATGATGCTGAACAGGTTTCAACTGAGCTTCCAGACTCAGGTAGACTTGGAAGAAAGGCCTGGTGGTCTATTTCCAAAAATCAGCCAGTGAAAACTCTCTGGATCACAACTGATCATGGGGATGTCACAGGACCAGGCAACATTTCTTTCCGTTGTGCATGGGGTTACCAGGGGCCTACTCAATGGCAGTTAACGACAACAAGGATCCCCAAGATAAGAGATTGACTGTCATTGATGAGTTCTTCAAACTCCAGCACCCTCCTCCACAAACCACCAAACAGCTACTGTTACCCAAGCAGGTGAAATCATAATGGCAGTGATTCTTCTTTTTTCAATTGTGCTTTAGGTGAAAGTTTACAGAGCAAATTAGTTTCTCATTAAACAATTAATACACAAATCGTTTTGTGAGATTTGTTGCCAACCCTACGACATGTCAACACTCTTGCCTTCTCAACCTTGG